GTGTCTTCCCATGTTTGAAGGTCCCACCATCCATTGCTCTCCGTGTAGTTTTTAGCAGTTCATTCCATCCTTTGAGGCTGGTGCATGACAGGGGATGTGATATCCCATGTTTGAAGGTCCCACCATCCATTGCTCTCCGTGTAGTTTTTAGCAGTTCATTCCATCCTTTGAGGCTGGTGCATGACAGGGGATGTGATACACTCACTCAATGCCATGCTCTTTAGCCCAGGTGTCTATGAGGGTGTTTCAGAAATGAGCCGTTGTCTGACTCAGTTCTTCCTGGGGGAACATGTCGCCACAGGACTTGTTTTCCACGGTGCAGGATAGTGTTCCGGGTGGTGGCATGGGGCACGGGATATGTTTCCAGCCTCCCGGTTGCTTCCACCATTGTAACACGGTGCTTGCCTTGGCAAGTTTGTGGGAGTGTGATGTAATCAACCTGCCAGGCCTCCCCATATTTATATTTCAGCCATCATCCTCCATACTACAGAGGCTTTAACCACTTGGTTTGCTTGATCACAGCACATCTTTCACATTCAAGGATAACCTGTGCAAGAGTGTCCATGGTTAAGTCCACCAGTTGATGATGAACCCATCTATATGTTGCACCCCTTCCTTGAGGGCTTGAGGTGTCATAGGCCTACTGAGCTATACGTAATTCACCCTTATGTTGCCAGTCCAAATCCACCTGAGCCACTTCAATCTTAGCAGCCTGATCCATCTGCTGCTTGTTTTGATGTTCCTCAGTGGCCCAACTCTTGGGTATGTGGGCATCTACACGACATACTTTTACAACCAGCTTCTCTAGCCAGGCAGCAGTATCTTGCCACAGCGCAGCTGCCTCTGTGCTGCCAGTTGCTCTGCTTCCATTGCTGCAACCACCCCACAGGGCATTTGCCACCACCCTTGAGTCAGTGTAGAGATAAAGTACTGTCCACTTTTGCTCAGCAATGTCTAAAGCCAGCTGGATGGCTTTCACCTCGGCAAACTGACTCAATTCACCTTCTCCTTCAGAAGCTTTTGCAACTCATTGGGTAGAATGAGGTAGCCTTCCACCTTCAGTGTTTTCCCACAATGCAACCGGACCCATCAGTGAATAGGATATACTACTCATTTTCTGGTAGTTTATTATGTGGTGGGGCTTCTTCAGCATGCATCATCTCCTCTGGAGATATTCCGAAATCTTTGCCTTCTGGCCAGTCTATGATCACTTCCAGAATTCCTAGACAACCGGCGTTTCCTATTCAAGCCTGCTGCGTGATCAGCGCGACACACTCCAAGTAGCGTCAGCTGCATGATGTGTAGAAGGGACCCTCCCTTTGAACATCCAGCCCAGCACCGGCAGTCAGGGTGCCAGGAGGAGCTGTGCTTCAGTACCAATCACTTCCGAAGCAGTGCAAACTCCTTCATATGCTGCCAATATCTCTTTCCAGTTAGGCTACTTCAGCTTCCAGTACAGTCAACTGTTGGGATCCCCCTGTCACTCCAGAAATACAGATAGGTTCTGCCCCTTCATGGCTTGATGCCATTAGGGTACACTGGGCATTAGTGTTCACTAGAGCTTTATACTCCTGGGGGTCTAATGTGCCAGGCCATCAGATCCACAGAGTCCAATAAACCCAGTTGTCCCTTTCCTGTACCTGGCTGGAGGCAAGGCCCCTCTAGTCCTGGTCATCATATTAATTACCAACAAAAATTTGTTTCCTCACATTAAACAGCTTCAATGATTTCAGAGTTTGAGCATGCTGCAGGGAGCAAGTGTTGGCAAAGGTACAGCCCTTTGGCTTTCCCAGAAACCTATCAGCTACTTAGCTGCCTCCTTGGGATGGAATCCCCTTCAAAAATCTGGCCTTTAATAGAAAACATGATCTAGAGAATTAAAGAGCCCCATATACAAATGGAGACACTCCATTACTGACCATTACTTGAAGCATTACGTCCAGAACCATTCACAGCATTGTTTAGTACACATAATTAGCCATCTTCAGAGAGCACGCACTTCCCTCCCTATGTCAGGAAATACCAGCATCCTACAGCCATTTGCCACGCAGACCTGGGAAAACCCGGCGTACTGAAGCCTGGGGCTCCCATGGAGAGAGGTCCCTTTTCCCTGGTGCTCAACACGTACCGGTGCACAGCAGCGGCCAGCGGCTTGCCAGCTTGCTGCCAGCACTTCCAACAGCTAGGCCCAGCCACCTGCCCATGCGTGGCAGGTCTCAGTAGCCTTCAAAATTGTGCAAATTCAAACAGCCACTATTTCATTGCAGTTCCCTTTTTTTGGAAGGAATCAAGAAGCTGGAAGTGAGATGGTCTGGCAGCTCTGTTCCCTCTCAGAAAAATCTCTCCTGGCAGCTCCTGTCACCTCACACAAGCCTCCTGCCTCACAGCAGCTCCACCTGTCCAGCTCAACTGGCACAAAGGCAGGAGGATTTGCCATTACTCTCTCTCTAAACACAATTGACTTCTTTCCTGTTAGCTTCCACATGCTGAAAACACCCATTTATCCTAACAACAACTGCTTTAGGCACACCAGAAAGGCAGAGTAGCAGCAGCCCCTTAGCTATGGGCAGGCCTTGTTCTCCCACCCACCCCATTTCTTACCTGATGGTGCAGCACACAGCGGGAGCACACTGATCTGGTAGCCAAAGCATCTATCAAAGAAGAACTGAAAACAATGAATTAATTGAGCAGACTGCAAAATGACTGCTCCTGCTGCAGCAGGACAGGCATCTAGACCAAAATTTTCCTTAGTGTTCTCAGGAAGGCCCAAGCACCACAGCATCGTGTGCTTCAACAGTTGTTCATATTCTAACATCTGTATTTAAAATTATCCCATACTTGAAAGGTACTATGTAAGTATTAAGTACATTTTTATTCAAACTCACTAGAACTGAAAAGGAACATAACCGTAAGTAACTCAGAAAAAAATGACAGTAAGTTGTGACTAGGCAGGTACTTATAGCAAGAGCAGATCTACAGTAACTGACAACTCACAGATCAATTCCTAAGCAGTCCAGCCTGCAGGACAACCGAGCACATCCCTCCAAAAAGGAGCTGAAACAAGGGAGAAACCACCAGTCTTTCATCTTTAGTGATCTGGCCAAGAATCAATGTTGAGAGGGAATTTCTGGAAGAAGAATTTCAGTTTAGCAAAAACACTCAGTATGTTCTAAAATTGCTGTATAGCACATAATTCAAAAATTGTTGCTGAACTATTGGTTTGCCATTAAAATAGCACAGAAGGCAGAGAGGTCCTTTTGCCATTCTCTTCATGTTCAAAGACAAATAATTTCTCACTTTTCTAAGGCATCCTGAGAGTTAAGCATGAAATGTATTTTACAGAATGCAAGCTTGGTCAAAATTGACAGCATGCTTGGCACTATCTGAACTGGTCAGAGAAGCATAAAAATCTCATGGTCTGATTCTACAGTGACCTGGAAGTCACTTAATTTGCATGATCAATTCTCCTAAAGAATTGATCCTGATTACCTTACCTTCAGTAAGAAGGTTACAATCAAATGGAAAGATTTCTGATATGCCTTTTGTGGCAAGATTATAAAAACAAACACAAGTCTGCCACACAGAGATGCAAATCAATATTGAGGCTTACACAAAGCTATTGCAGACAGATGTTCATCTAGCACCATGAACTGTGTTGTGGAAATTTTTTCCCCAAGGAAAAAAAAAAAGTACAACATCCATCCATTTTATTTTATTCTTTATTATAAACAATTTTGTAGTTTCCAGAATGGGATTACTACATATTAGATAACAAAAACATTCTCAGCTGAATCAGTTTTAGCTTTTACTAGATTAAATCAGAACCAGCAAAACAAGTATTTTTTTTTTAAGGATTTAGTCTATCGCAAGAAAAACAGCTTTATAAACATGAAATAGAATTAAAGATATGCATTTGATCATATATACATAAGCAGCTGGTGACACTCTGGACAGAAACATACAAGGAACTTCTTTGCACATAAATAGATTTTTAAAATTATATTTCTTTCACACGTATACAAAATTATTTTGCCTTCTATACTGAGCAAAGTTCTTGGAGACACAAACAAGGATTTCTAACAGAGGAAATCCCACATATCACTTAGGATGTGGGCTGTCATGCACACAAGGATGTAATAACACAATTTACACAGCATTCCTATACAATACTTGAGCTTCTTATATACATACTTACAAGACACTTTTGTACATGAGATGCCACCCTTGCAATTGAAATGGCATCTCCCCTGAAAGGCTGCATTAGTTCCAGTGTTTGTATAAAAGATAAAACAAGTTTCAAAATGCAGCACCACTTGGCTTGCAGAGTCAAGGATCCACTGAGCTGCAGCTCTGGTTAAGGCAGCGGGGTAATTACACTGGCCTCTGTGTTTACACAGTCCCAGTGGGGAAGGTTAAGATGTGACCTGTGAAGTCTACACATTACCCTATAAAATGTGGCTGTGGCAAGACCACTTGATTTTAATAGATCCATGGCTAAATCTGCACACTTTTGCTCTTCAGCTTTCTCTTTAAGCTACTTAAGCCATGTGTCTGGTTCTGTCTTTGGGGGAGAAGTTTGGCCTTTGTATGACCTTTTTCACTATAGTTATTTACCAATGGTGGGGCTGGGTTCAGCACACACACGACCTGTGAAACTTTTCTTTAATGCAGGTAGAAGGGGTGCACAGCACAGTGATGTCAGAGGACCCTGTTAAGCTTCTCTCGGAGCGGGGAATGCTCAGCACCTGTAAGAATCACGTGCCAAGCCTGCTGTGAGATTAGGTCAGGCTTCCACACTTTGTTTTAGGCACAACAGTGTCAAAAGAAGGGCTGGAGTTTTGCTCCTTGTTTCTCTTAATCATACTTTGTCCAACTAGAAAATAGTACCTGGAGAACACTCAAGAGCAGCATGCAGGTGATGCCTCTCACACAGCATCTAGACAAATGCTACCCGCACGTCTGCAATGACAAACACACATACTACTAGCTGCATCTGTGGGTTACACACATCCATACTCATACCAAACAGTCTGCTGATCCCCCTGGGGATCCGGAGACCCGGGAGTACTGTTGGAGCTACTTCCTCTCACAGGCTCCTCAAGAGCCCCAGCGCTGCCTTCTGGCAGCTTACCCTGGCACTTGCTAAGTAGGGCATCACCCTGGCCTTGGCCCAGGGAAAAATTTCCCTCAGTGCTGCTGGATACAGCTCTGGCAGGGGCCACCGTGGCCACCTCCCCAGTACGAGGGGCTGGCTTGGGTTTGACTTTAGAGGGAGTGTGTGATGCAGGTGAGTACTGTTGCCCAGGGTTCACACGCTCCTGTTGCTGCACGTTCAGATTGCTGGTGGATGTGGTGGGTGAGGCAGAGAACTGATGGAAGGAGAGCGGCCTCTCATCCTTCGGTGGGGCCAGGGAAAGGCGCCTCGCATCAAGCTGCCGACAGCGGGAATCGACACCTTGCAAGGAACCTGCCACCTTTGCAGACTGTGGCCTCTCTCTTAATGTTGCCTGGGAGCTCGTTGGCACAGAAGCCCTGCCGGTCTGACTGACAGCGTCCTTGCCCCCACGCAGGTCTGCTGCTGACTTCTGAGGGCTCTCCTGCCTGTATATCTCTGGGCCGGTAGCTCTGAGGAGGTCTGCTGAGGCTAAGCTAAACGCTCTACTCAATGACGTACTCCTCCTGCTCGCGGTTCCGGGCTGCTGAGGCTGTGCCATCTGCCGCATCCCACTGGTGGGCTGGTGCTGTGGCGTGTGAGGAAGCTTAAGGGACCCCTGGGAGTTTGCCAGAGGCTCAGGTTCAACTTGTCTGAGGTTTGGCTTTATGTGATGTCCAGGCTTAGCCATTCTTCCTTCTTCATTGGCGATGGTCATCTTTACAGTTGGAGCAACAAGACTAGTGGACATCTTAGCAGCCTCCTTTCTGGACGGCTGAACCAGCAGGTTCCCAGGCTCATTTGCTTTCCTAAAATAATCGCCGAGCAAGTCATCTCTGTTAATGGAGGTGTCCTGGTGTGAGAAAATATGCACATGCCACATTAATGACAACCCTTCTTGTTTAAAGAATCATGCAGAGCTTTGTGTTCAGATTATCTTCCTTCCCACTTAATTCAACCCAAATACAACCACAGATTTTACATTTAAAGTGGGGAACGGAAGACACACATGTTTACAGTGGGTATAAGTCCTAATCAAGGAGTAACATGCTCATCATAATTAAATCATGACAGCCTTGTTTGCCAGATTAATTGTCTTAAATTTTAAAAATTTCATCTCATTTGCAACTTGGGCAGCAGCTCTTTTGCTTCCTTTCACATCAGCCACTGTCACTGTAACATCAATATCATATTAACGACAGCCATTGGTATCAGCAGATATCAATGATGGTCTGTCATCTTCCAGAATACAGTTCACCTGAATAACACTCTACTGTAACTTCAGAGATATAACAGGAGAGAATACCTTGGGGAGGTGTGCTAGCATTACAAGAAAGTTTCATTGCTTCTCCATTGATTCCCTTCATCTCTCCCAGTCAATATACTATATATGTTAAAAGCTGCATGTACAATATAATGAAATGTACAAAAAATCATTACAAAAATGGAGAAATGATTGCTTGCCCACACTTAACTTGCAAATTTCAAGTCAGACAATTAACCTGACAGTAAAAGAAAACATACAATGAATATTTCATGGATATGGTCCATGCAATCCAAAAATGGTGATGTTTGATCAGCTGCCATTGGACTATTAGTACAAGGCATGCTCAGAATAGTTAAAGGACATGCTGTCTTCACGAAAAACATGCTGAAACAAGCTCATGGAATTTATTTCTTTACTCATCTCTAGGGACTATGTTAAAATTTAATATATTCATTTCAGTAGTGTTCCAAACGTTTCTTCCAGTCACAAAACTCGTTCGCTAGAAGTGAACACCATCAATGGTAATAGCGCGGCGGGAACATTTCTATGCTCAACTAAATGTTAAAGTGTTAGGGTTATTTTTAACTTCACTTTAAACCACTGTTACGCATGTTAACATTACAGAATGACTAGTCCTCCAAAAAAAAGCATGTTTATGAACAAGCACTGGAAATACTTTATGAGCAATTAATGCAAGTGATCTGGCAGCCTTTAAAATAACAGCTAAGAGTTACAGTATGCTTCTATAGGCATTAATATGCTAGCAAAAGCTGTGGTAAGTTGGGTGCTGTTGCCTTCATAGCAAGAACAACGGATACCCTGGGGATATACAGTGAAGTAGATCTCCTATTTCCCCTGCCTGTTCTGTGCCTCATGCTGTCGGGACATGAGTGACTGAGGACGGATTCGAGTGACTGCGAAGATTCCTGATGGAGGGAAGGACATAGGGAGTAGCAAGAGGGATACAGGGCATCAGCTTCTAACAGAAATTGGTGCAATGAAATCATTTCACTCTCATTTAAACTGCGCCGATGCTGAAAAGGAACAAGGATGACAGAAAGAATGAAAATGGACACATGGTCAGGTACAGACAAAAACAAACAAAAAAATTTTGAATTTTAAAACATCTCTAAAAGCTAAGAATTGTATTTAGGATAATAAGGGAATAAGAGGTATATTTAAATATTGCTCTGAAAAGTCAAGGACCAGAATTTACTGATGCCATAAAATGGTGCAGCTCTGTTGATTTCAATACTGTTACCAAGGCATTCATGAAACAAACAGCTGCTCACTTACAATATCAGTGAATTGTTAAGACATTAACATGCTCAATACTGCACTGCCTCACTGCTGTACAGTACGTCTGAGCAGTAAAAAATAAATGCCATCTAGAAAGCAAACATTTCATTTCTGACAAAGCACTTCAGCGTGCGGCATATTCTTGCAGTCATTGAACCAACAGAACAGTGCCAGTCAGCACACAAACGTGGCATGGTGAAAGCATCAAGAACTTCCTTTGGCAAGAAAAACATTATCCCTCAAATGCCCTGCTGGTATTTTCAGATTAGGAGATGGTTTTAGCAATTGCGCTTCCATTGAAAACTACTGTTAGGTTTCACTTTTAGTTACAGATCTAGCAGCTGAAAATTACACAGAAAACTTACTAGTTCACAAATAAAAATACCTGGAGCTGAGACCTGATGATATAACACGAAACCTTGACCACAAGTGTTTGATATTAAAAAGGCCCAGTAATCCAATACATGGTACTTGCACTGAATTATCTGACTTGCCATAGCTGATACACCAAAATAAACTAGCTGAGTGCTGTGTGAAAGTTAATCTTGCCTTAGTTGTTGGAACGGTTTCATTCATTTTGCAAGTTTTGATAGTTTGCTGCAAATTTCACGGATATGAACAAGGATCTTGTCTGTCCTTGATTCCCTATGCCCTCACTCCCCTGAAACAGCTTTGAACAGTTTTTTTGACATCTGGAATGGACTATCTAGCTCTATTTACTTACCCTTGGTGGGGACAGCCTGTTGCTCTCTTCCAAGAACTCTTCCAAAGTTACCATCTCACTGCCAGGTGAGGCAGACCGTTGCCTGCCTGTGTAAGACTGGGATGGAATACTCTTCTGAGGTATATCATAAGAGATCGAACCGTTCCTGTGGGAGGAGGAATCATGCCTGCTGCTAGGGCTCAATATGGCAGAAGTGGAGTGAAAGGGATAGGTGTCTTGGAGCAAGGCTGGTGCCTCTCTGCTTGGTACCATATCTTCACTGCTGAGACTCTCAGTTCTACCATGGATATGATCTAAGGAACCTGAGGAGAAGCATAAACATCATTAAAGACACTGTTCTTCCCTCATTTCAGTAGATTTCCTACTGAGGTAGGAACTCTATCATACGGGGCCACTTCTACACAGACTAGGTGGCATTTTTGATCTTACTTTCTTCTCGCACAGAACTTGAAGCAGTCAGAACTTTGAAAAATCAGGACTAGTAAATGTCTTACAGTACACACTTTGAGCCCCTGTGTCAAGCAAGCACAACTACTTCTCCAAAGAATAGGAATTACACAGAGAGCAAGGGGCCTCTTTACCACCTCCATGCCAGGAGAAGATCTCCCAGTCTTGGCTGTGTGCGATCTGAGAGCCAGAACGTGGCAGTGGGAAACCAGAAAGTGGATTTTCCACAGTGTCAGGTCTCCTGGAATCCTTCAAGGACACATAATTTCAGCAAAAGCAAATGTCCAGAGCACACTGATTTCATACACAAGCTGCATACAGAGTAAGAATAGGAGAGACCTGTTGTTGTAAAAGGACTCTAAGAGTGGCCTGATACTTCCCACAACATAATGCCAGTCAGACTGAAGCAAAACTAGATTGCCTGCCTTAAAAGCCACTCCTTGCCAGAATCAATCTTACAAAAATACTTCTTGCCAGCAGTTTTGATTCCCAAGACAGCCGTGTCCAGATTGCATAATCATTACAATTTCAAAACAACAGTCTTCAAATTTAATTGGAAGGAAAACAGCATTTTGCACACGGTTTCATGGATTTCCACTTCCTGTTTGTCCGAACTCAGCTATAAAAGCTTTACCTTTCAAATTGAGAGGTGAACTACTGCTGGAAGCGTTTCTGCTGCTCTCTAAACTGTTTGGCCTGGATGCTGAAGAACACAAAACAAGCATTGAACAAACAGATTTTAAGTTCCTCTGATTCTCTAAAAGACTTGGCTACAGTCTGCCTTCTGCAAATAGGACTTGTGCAACTAAGTGGCTTTGAAAACATTAACAACATAATATACAGAGGATGCCGAAGCCTGGACAGACTAGAAACCTCTTTTTTTCTTCAGGTCACATTGTTCAGGATCCATGTTGTTTTTCTCACTTAGTTTTTGCACAAAGAAATACATTCTGGGTTTTGCTTTTACAGCAACTATAAACAAAGTAACATAAATACTTAAGAAGTTCAACAAGTTGCTGTCTCTTGCTCAGTTTGTTTCTTTGGAAGGAGCTGGTAACCAGCCTGCAAATTAAGTCTTCCAGAAATCTCTTAAGGAGACAGTGCTGCTGCTGCACCAGCATTCCCACTGTGCATCTGCACCCCCCACCCAATTTTTTTTAATTGCTGATTCACTCCCTTAAGGAAGGAATTTAATATTGTCTAAAAAAATCAGCAACCAATCTGTAGGACATGCAAGGGTCTGTTGCTGGGGCAAGGCAACTCATCTCAACATCTGCATTGTTTTTGAAAATTTATTTTGTTAAAAAGTCCATTAAAAGCTTCTCAATAGAAAAATAGAAGTACTTAGACCCACATTCCCAAAACGGTGTTGCATTACTACATCTATCATGTTAACTTAGCTAAAATGCTCCAGGACAGTTCACGTGGACGCAATGAAACAAATCTTAGTGCAGAGGTTTAGAACATTCGTGTATGCTACAAGCTTACCGTGCTGTCTGGTGCTTGCAAACTCTACCTCAGGGGACTGTTCACATAGATTATCTTCTGAATTATAGCCTGAAAAGAACACAGAACTTAAAAGGCAATATTAAACACAGGAAGGTTAATCCTTCAGCTCAATCTCCAATGCATCCTGAGGTAATCGAGAGCCAACATTGGAAGAGCAGCCATCTTCTAACCACTGCTGTGAACCAAGGGCAGGGAACCACAGGAGAACTGACATCCAGATGTGGTCTGTCAAGTTGATGACATTACAAAAGGAAACCTTGTATCTGACCAATTAAACCATTAAGCAGATAAAAGTAGGAGTGAAGATACTAGTGCTCTGGTTTTGTACTTGAATGCCACTAGAAGCCACGTTTCACCCAAGCAGGAAACTTATACTAACAACTGGTATAACTAATGCACTGCACACCTTTTGGTCTGCTCTGGAGCCTGGGGATGGGGGTGGAAGTGTGCAGATGAATAGCTGAGGTCGAGTAAGTCCTGGGACCCAGTTCCACACAGCAGTGTTTTGTCGCAGAGTCTGCTGAGGTTTCAACATTATCATTGCTGCCTCCATGATGGGAATTCCTCTTTTGCTTTAGGTCCATTAGCACTGCGGGGGAGAGAGGTAAAATAAATAAGAATCAATGAAAAATAGCATTAAGAGATTTGCATTTATCTGCCCATACAAACATGACAAGCAGGCACAAATAAACGGCACGACAGAGGCGCTAGTTTTGCAAGCTTTTCCATAAACAGTTCAGTATTGGATAGGAAATTTCTGCCACCAGTTTTTCAATCATGTGTGCTCTCTGTAAAGTGTGGGAGTGACAAGGGCTGCTTAGTGCCAGTGGGAGGGTTGATATTATACATGCAACAATTACCGTGAAAGGAGGAAGAAAAGGAGCAAAGACATGAATGCAGAAAAGATAAGTGAGGTGTGAAATTCCCATAACATTATTCCTTGCAGGTACGTTTTATAAGCACTTACTTCAGTAATAAAATAGAATAAGGAAAGAGTCACAGAAGTCATGCTTTTGTTCAAAGAGAAATAATGCTGATCTGGAAATTATCTAGCATGATCCACACACTAAGCTAACTGCTTTCAGGTTTAGATCTTTGCTATGAGTAAGAGCTCAGTCTCTACAAGGTTAAAACTCTGCTGCTCTTACGATGCTCTGGTGCAATGATTTTTAAGTGGAATTCCTGGGATCTTCACATGAGAACAACAAAAACTACCTGCTAGAATATTATTTACAAACAGAAAGCTGAAGAAATCTTTCCTAGTGATGAGGTAGGTTAATTCATTTCTTGTAATGTGAACGCAACGCTTCAAGGCATGCAAATTAGAACAAAATTTTTAAGAATTTACTATAGGAAACACCCTTAATGAGATGGAAAGTTCTAGTTATCTATATATTTCTATGGAGCACTTGCTTAACTAATAGTAATCAAATGTTGAAAACACAGCAGAATGCAGTGGTCAAAATAAACAGCTTGCAGAGACAATGGACAGACAGTTAGTTCAAAGCACAGAGCAACAGCAAAGCTGTATTAGAGAAATGGACCAAGTTTGTGTCATCTTAGATGATTCCTGGAAGCTGACTTCAGAAACAATGTTTTCTCCCACAGTCTGTGTGGGCTGCACAGCACAGGATGGCACTTTCTCTCAGAATTGAAGTTTATTGCATGCCTGTAGGGGCAATTACTGGCTAAAGCTTGGCATGCAAATCTGTATTTCTAATTGACTTTGTAGATGCACTTAACATCTTCCATAGATGCCAGAATTATTAATTGCCCTGGAGACAAACATTCTCTACAAATCCCAAAACGGGCAGCAACAGGCTGCTGTGCCACAGAGGAACAGTTCTCAGAGTGAGAAGGGAGATGAGATCTTTTGGCCTTCTATGCTGAGCTCCCTGCAGTGTGTTGCCCATGCTGCATACGCTTCTCTAACGCAGAGTGGGGACTGGACCCGTGCATTCATTTCAGAAGCCACCAGGTCGTGACTATCGGGCAATAAGAATTCCGGGCAATGGATCTGTGATGAAGGTTACTCCCAATCTTAAGAGAACAAATCTACTTTTTTCTTTAAAAAAAAAAAAAAAATCTGTCAAAACTGAAGCAGCAGAACTGTAACTTTAGCTCAATTCAAGATGAATTTTTGTAGCTGGAATTGTAAAACCTTGCTAAGCAGCAGGTTTGAATGCAAACGTCAAGACACTTTGTGGAGAATTATTTTCCCAGTAGCTTCCACTCTATATTCAAAGTTAGAATATTTAAAAGCTGACAAAGATGGTAAAAACCCTGTCATTTTTAGCATTTAGTGGCACAGAATATTGGAAAAATCTCCAGGATTTGAGATTGTTTATATATTGAACGTGTATTTTAGTAGGACTACAACATCATAGAAAGCATAGCAACAGCAAATCAGGTCAACACTTTAACTGGACATGATGCAAGAATGTGATTGCAAGAAAATACCGAAGCGCATAGCAACTTCACTTACTTACAACATGCACCACAGCCAATATACATACGCAAACTGTATGCCACGAGGTCCCCTAAAAATGTGCTGCATTGAAGAAATGATCCACAGTGTGCAACAGTGATTCATCTTCTACAGGAAAACTTAAGTCCATGTTCACTAATCTGTGCTTGTTTTTAGAGTATTGCAAAGACATGCTGAGTGTTTCTATCAAGGTGTGTGTTCTTTTAAGGCATGTGGAATTTATTTATTGATTTATTTTGCTTTAAATATTTGTCAGAAATAAATGAAGATAAATACTAAAGAGAAGGTGTTAGAAATTTCCCATTTCTGGGAAAGAAAGAGGTTCATTAGGAGAGGATGGCATGTCGGAAGAAGACCAGAACCGGAGCCGACTAGAGAGAGACTGGTGATTCGATGGAGACTTAGGAGATTTTTCTTTATCCTTGCTTTTGCTTCTCAAAAAGGCAATCTTTTTGCGTTGCGCAGCTAAATTGTTATCACCCAGGTATCCCAAAAAGAAGAAGAAGAAAAAAGTAAAAAACCCTTGTAAATAAAACTGAAGTGTCTTAAAACAGATTAAAGGCTACACAACCAGCAAAAATGAAAAAGGCTAAACAAAGACCAATGCATATATTTGGAGGACTAATTAACACAGTTAATCATAGTTAATCTGACTCAGATTAATGCATAGATTAATATACCTAAATATAACCAAGTCCATTAAAATATTACTGTTAGATCACCCAAAATGTTTTTACTTTAATTAAGTAAAATCAAATACGTGTGCATGTTACTTGGTGATAATATACTCAGATTTCCTAGATGTCTTCTGGACTTTAATACTATTGATCATTATCTCAACATAAGCATGTTTCATGTAACATCAAGAAGAATGAAGTCCCAGAGACTTTCTGTTATCTCTAGCACTCCATGAGGGCCTTGTTGTGTGGAAATCCCAGCCCAAATTCCCAGGTTGAACTTTGGATGCATGTTAAACACTTAACATCTCCTGGAATCACATGGATGATCTGAGACATGCATTTTAAGTGAGTCAACGACCTCAAAGAATTAGAATGGAGGAAGGGAAATATAAAACCCAAAACAAAATCTTCAGACAGACAGACAACAGAATAAGCAAAACTTGGGATATATATTAGCTTTAATAAAGATCAGAATATTTATTTTGAGGAGCTTTCTTTTAAATTTCCCATAATTAGGAACACATGATTTACTGTAAGAACTATGTAACAGAAGAAATCATTCCATCTTCCTTAAATTTGCCTTAGAATATTCCAAAAAATCATTTTACGTTATGAATTTCTTAGTTTAATTCAAAGTCAAAACACAATATCATCCTCCAAAATAATTAGATTACAATAAATTAGCATTTCCTGTTATTTCTTTTGCATGTGCGCCATCTCCTGGCAGTGGCTGTAAGACCAACTATTACCCATTTGAAGAAGAGTTGCTAATGAATCATATTACATGGTCCAACTTTAAACTGCTTTGTGGCAAAACCCCAGTAAATGAAGTATCTCCACCAACTTACTCAGTGACATGCAATATATTCAGGCAAACCAAGAAACTATACATGAAAGATGAAGGGAGAAGTAGATAAAAGGAACAAATCAAACAAAAAAAAGCAAACCACCCCCCCACTCCCCATACCTTTCAGTTTACTCAGCTTTTAGTTTAGGGATTTTTTTGCTTACTAAAACTTCTTAGTTTACTAAAAAAGGGATATAAAACAATGTGATGGAGTATAAACATATCCTACATATTAAATCTTTTTTACATCTTTTTTAGCTCTTTTTAAAAAATACTGTTCGGCTCATGAACTGAGGCTGGACACTCCTTACCTTTGTTTGAAGAACGCCCAGGGTGTTCTCTCTCTTCCATGGAGTTTGACCCTTGAGACGTATTATCCTGAGTTTCTTGTTGTTTCAGTTTTTGGGAGGCAGATGGAGAGTGCACTGTCTCTGGGGATTCAGAATGCCATGGTGGGCTTTCTGCTGCTGGTTTCAACCGCTCCCTTGTAGTATCCTTCTTTGGCTTCATGAATTTGACTAAGGCTCTGGCTCCAATCCAGTGGTTTTTCCTGATAAAGCAGGTTTTGTGAATGGGATTCATAAAAGACTAAAAGAAATACTCCCCAGAGAAGTTTACAGCTGTGCTAAAGCCATCAAGCCAACCTACATTCTTATTTGTTTACTGTCATGAATTGGTTGGAAAGATACAGCATGAATTCCATAGAGCTTAAGATCCACTTCTCTTCCAAAGTCAAAATTATTTTACAGAAATACGTCTTCAGCATGAGAAATGTGAGAAAGTTCCCTCTGCTGGAAATCTAAACTACACATATGGACCCCTATAAGACATTTTAACAGTGTGAAAAGCTCTACTACAGGAACAAGACTGAGAAGGAAAGAAATGAAAACTGCTTTAAAGATAAATCCTTCTCTTCGCTAAGGCTATCAGTCAGAACTACGTGTGGTGAAATTAGCTTGGCTTGGTTTTTTTGTTGTTAGTACAAGTCCTTCCTCTCTGACGGACTGCTTATCCCCTTTGAAAGGGTAGCTCTGGAAGCTCCTACTGCTGCTTAGTCACCATACTAGGGGTCCCTCACCCCTGCTAGGGATGACATGATATTCATCAGGGCAAAGTGGCTCTTCTCCTATTAATACTGTTTCAGATTCCAGTACGAAAACAGAGGGCCCTGCGCGAGGTAGGTGCTGTGCTCTATATTAACACAACCTGCTGCTTCAGGGAATGGCTTGCAGAGTGAGAGTGAAGAAAGAAGTGGAGATGACACTGTCCTTATTTCAGATGAAATTTCTGTTATCTCCAGCCATGGAAAGCCCTTTCTCACCCTCACAAATCTGTACAATAGCAGAACCGAACCCATATGGGACTTACTTTTTTGGAGTAGGATCATAAAACTTATACTGATCCATTATCTTCTCTTCAAGTTTTTCCTTGTGTCTCCTCAAGGCATTCAATTTATCACTGTGAGGGGGAAAAGCACATTCTGAACCATCTGTATGAAATTAAGCATAATCAAAAAACCTGAAAACCAAAAGCCACTAAGAGAGGAAAGGGACTGAAATACTTTCCTATCACATAACCTTCAGACTCCTACTGAACTCATTCACTGTCTGTTTAGAGGGTAAATGCAAAAGCCTACAAAACTTGTTGATGGGTGATTTTTGTGCAAGAAGCATGAAAGGTGAAAGAACAACAGTAGATTGGTGCTAGATTACTCTCTAATAACTCAGGCAGAGTTTGTTTGGTGGGTGTTAATCTTACTTTGTTTCTTGAAAATTTGTTTGCTGATTGTTCAGTCTTATTCACAGATCACTGACAATTACTCAAGGGTTAAGATCCTTACATAGTTTGAACTTCTTGTCTACATGATAACTATTTTATTCCTGTTCTGCTTACTCTGTTGTAACTAGAGAAAGAAATGATGTTTGATCTTTTTAAGACTACTTTAGTCTCCTGCAAGCAGTGTCAAAGCAGCTTCAGCAGCAGTGCCATGTAATCTTACTATTTCTTTTTTGCTCATTATTTTATTAATCTGGACAGTGGATATTAGCAAATCTTTTTTCATTCAGGTAGTAGGTCTAAGGTACTTCCATCACCAAACTGTCAGACACCTGGATAAATATGCTTAGAGCACATTTGAACTGTATTCAAGCCAATTTCAGCAAACAATTTCTAACATTTCAACCATATAATCCAATACTGAAATAAAACTTTAACTCCCACATCATCCTGAGGTGCTTAGACTAAAATTTCTTGAGATTAAGAACACTTTTCTTCCTTCTTTCATACCTATAAGAGAAATTCACTGCAGTGAGGACAAGATTCTTTATAAAAGCACACTATGTTTGAACAGGGTATCTCACTTCAATTAAACATGTGACCCTGTGCACGGGGGACACAGTGATGTATGTTGACACCTGCATCCTTAAAAACAACATCAAAGGAAGTATTTCTTATAATGCAAATGACAAACTAGAGGTGTACGATTATTTGCTATTCTTCAGGAATCTAAATATAAAATGACTGTCATAAGATGAAATTTTTTTGCAACTCAGCTGTTTTCCAAGCTCTTCAGAAACCTTTGAGAGGTACTACTGGGTTTAGCATCCCATCTTTTATAACTAAGTTTTCACATGGGTTCATGTATATTATTTGAAAAGAGCTGTGCTTGTCCAGGTGTCTCCCGAACATCCCCTTGCAGTAAAGGCAATATGAAGAAATTTTGTAGCTTCTCCCCATCACATGTATCTCCTCCTAAACATCCCCTTTTCTAGCCAGATATCAAGTAGACCTATCATTCTCCTGCCTGTCCTTCTACTCCTGATAGATGATTTGTATTCTATGTTTGTCTAGATGACCTTTTTAGGTTTCACAATTCAAATCCCTTGTTTCTTACATATACTGTTTCTGTTCTTCGTGATACTGCTCCTTGTTCTCCATGTTCTGCTCCAGTAACATCTGATTCTGCTGGCTCAGCATCTGAATCTGACTCAGGAGATGATGGTTTTCTTCTTCCAGATTTCCCTTTAGACGGGACAGCAGCTATTAAACAAGAAAGATTAATCTCTCCTCTGCATCTGGTTTCCCCGGAAGTGCACCATAATCAAGCTAACACAATAGCATAACAATCTAGGACACAAATCGATAAACTTCAACATATATGGGTGTATTATTATGACCACATAGCTTGATGTTCTATACATAGCGTGCCAAAAACTTTGCACAATGAAAGTTAGCACTCTAACTGGAACCCTACCTACAGCTACTCACCTCACAGTGGTTATCCAGCTTGGTCAGAGAGATATCCATGGACTGGTGCTGTTCTTTCAGCTCATCGTAGCGAGCCTGCCAACGATTCAGCTCCAGCTGAGAGTTGTTCAAGGAAGTTTTCAGTTCTTTAGTGTGTGAATGCAGCCCTTCATACTCTGCCTTTAGTTGGTTGTGCAAGAAATTCACCCTAAACACAAAGAAGCCAGCAGGCTTATGAAAGACACTTCATAGAAAGTACCTCACATTCAAAGACCACACCATCAGTGTGCAGCTGTCACTAAATCAAACATTAAGTTCCAAAGACCAACTTCCAGAGACATTTTTATTCTAAGCATATAATAAAATTTTATTAAGTAGTAATAGCATTATGAAATATTTTAAATCTACAAAAGAACTGAAAGGAAAACAGATGAAACGTAAAACTGCTATTTCCTCAATGTGTAAGAAACAGACCACAAATTTCTGAGGCACAATGTATTTAAGAACATTTGGATATAAAGGCAGCTGTATTTGGCACAAATAAAGAACACTCACAGAATTTCTTTCCTGATGCATGAAATATGAGCATTAAAGTGTCCTGAACTGTGAGACATTGTAATGTTGTAAGACAATACTTTGGCCTTCTTTTATAGCTTTTGGCAAATCTAAAAACATCTACAAATCATAAAGGTTTAAAATTAAAGAAATAGATAAATAAAAAAAGATTAAGCTCTGTATCTGCTGACAGATCAGCTAAGCCTTGCCCTCTGCCAGCATTGCTATCAACATTGTGCCACACCTTCCTTTGTCCCTAGAGAAACTGAGTTGAAAACAGCAAGCTTGAGGAAACCTCCTTTGCGGAGCTCTGCAGCGTTCTAAAGCAAATTACAATTGGGACAGCATATGAAACTTTCATGACTGAACTTTACATGTGATTTTTACATATGATTCAGTCTGACATCGCTTTAACTTGATATGACCTTGACCGCTTATTCGTACCAAATTATTTCTCAAAATGCCTTTGTAGTATGAACAGTGGCATTGAACAGGTTACAATGGAGAGAGCCCCAGCAGGGATACAGGTTGAGGGCAGGGGGAGGATACGTTTTACTGCTGTACTATATAAAGTTCAGAAGCTAGCTCACACAAGGGGTTTTGACATGAGCTAACACTTACCCAGTGATTATATGAATCACTAAGCCCACTTTTAGTAACAAAAATCAAGTCTCTTTCAAGTATTAACAAATGGCAGCTTCCTCTGGGCAGCAGAAAGTAAACAGCAATGGTAACTCCTAGAACTAAGTCATACCACGTAAAAAACATAATACAGTTCCCCTTAAGGGAAAAAACTGGGTAGGAACGATTTCACACAACTCCAGATATTACTGGGGATTTTGGGTATTTGTAGTTCTACTTAAAGATAAGTGCTTGGAAACAACTTGTTACAGAAACACTTGTGAACTGAACCACACATGGAAGCTTATTTTGAGTGAACAAAAATGCCAGGATCAGAGCATGTTTGAAGCACTGAACAACAGTATTTGTTGACAGTGTCCATGAAGCTGATAATCTTAAATGAGTTAAACAAAATGATCAAAATATCAAGACAGAAATTGAGAAAAATTAAGAGATACATTAATGAAGGTATTCTGGAACTACAGTTAACACAGCAAAACAACTGTGTGTTTTGTATAATTGACTTTTTAATGATATATACATGAATTTAGCAAGGGAATCATACCTGTCCAGTTCCTCCCTCAGCTTCTGATTTTCCCCAGTGGTTATTGCATTTGATCTCCTCTCTTGTTGCAGAACCTCTCTCTCAGTTTTTAAAACTATTTCCAACTCTTCCAATTCTGCCTTGTGTTTCATTAAACCGTTGTATCTGTAAAAAGAGGAGTAGCATACTCTCAGCTTTCATTTAAACATTTTTCTTCCTCTAGTTTAAGATTTTTAATAGGTAATACCACAACGACCAGAAAAGATGTTTTTTTTTCCTGCCTGCTTAGTTTCATACATATTTGTGTGGTTAAACATCTACCAAGGCTGAAGAATTCCACACTATGCATGGCAATTCAGCTTAGTCTAGAAGTTAACAGGGAGGCTTTTAGAAAAAAAATGCATTTTTTAAGCGAAGTGGAATGCAATTGCCAGAACCTTATTTCAATTCCAGATTCTGATCATTTGGTAAAAAGCATGCAAGTCTTCAGGGTGAGTGGAAACTGCACTATTAAACTGGAATCCCACTCACAAGTAATTGTCAGTGGCAGGTTTCAAAAACCTGACTAAAAAGCAGAAAGCAGCAGCCAAAAAGAAACAAGAAAGCAGTGGAACGAGCAATGGTTTATTAGGTAACAACCTAATGCATAGTAGGTTATAGGCAGAGGTAATAGCATCCTGCATAGGTAATAATCTCCTGCATAAGTCAGACAGATGATGAAGCTAGTGTCAGTGAGTTGACAGCAGCACGCCTTTAAGCAGGGGCTGACCCATCTGCTTGAGTGCCTCTACTCGTTCACTAGTGAGAAACCCAAGAGCAACACCGGTGTTCATGTCCAGGCTCCCACTGTTACCTGGTTTATACAATTTGTGCATAAATCATTCAGGGTGGGGAGACAGACAGAGACAGAGAGCAGTTGCTGTCAACTATGTCTTTAATTTCAATCTCTGGAATGCTAAAATAACAGAGGTGTGGAACAACTCCCCTGATATTTGGCACAGGCATCGATTAGGCAGGCTCAGTGTCCCTGAGCTGCAACACCACAAGCATTCAGAAAATGCTGCAAAGAACGAGGTGGCTTGAGACCACTTTGCAAAACAGCAAGCTGTTCTCAGAAGATTTTTTTTCCCCCCCCTCTGGTGGCCTCTGTCAGAGTCTGTGCCCCCCCCGCCAGCAGAAGCCACTGGGGACACTTGTGCAGTGAATGTTAAGTCATCAGCACATTTTTCTGTGACTGCGATAAAAGGATACTGCCCCAAAATATCCCTGGGCAGATACACCTGTGCCAGTCACAGAGCAACATCCTTCTAAGCAATTTTAAAACATCAACTAGGTGGAAAATGCAGCATGGCATGAAAAAGCAAGAGAACAAGCATCATCTATCTGTGACGCTCATCCCAGCGGAGATGAATGCAGAGCACAGTTATTCTGCAGTCACAAAAACTTCAAAATAAAAACAAAAGCTGCAGACAGCACCAAATACACTGACTCCTGCCAACTTGTTTTTCTTTCAGGCTACCATTCCCTTCATCCCAGGGTCAAATTACAGCCTGTCCCAAATTCCAGTCCATTGAAGGGCCACACAGAAAAGTACCTGTCTCCCAGACAAAAGCTGCTTTTTACTATTCATTCCCAGTAACAGCAGTGGAGTTTAATTAACCTTATTTGTTTGTTTGCTTCCTCCATTCAGCTCCAGGACATTTCAAATTCAATGTCTGTACAACAAATGGAAGAACCTGAAAGCAGAGGAAGGTTTCACATCCAGCTCCAAGAAGGATTTAAGACAGACTGCGTGCCAATCCAGAGTCTGAGAAGACAAACTCCACAGTCAGTCCCCTGGCAGAGACTACCACGGCTGCCTCTGCAGAAACTGTTGTGAATTCTTTTGCCATTTCTGTATGATAGGGCTATAGGGCTACTCCATTCATTTTTATTCAAGCCCTCAATTTTTTTTTAAAGAGGGCTATTTAGAGGAAAGCAGTATACTGGTCCAGTTTTACCAGCCTGGCCCAGCTCCACATGCTGCCTTTGCGCATGGGAACCTGAGGTAAACCACAGCTGCTCCCCTAGATATTAGGTGAAAGGTAAGAAAGGAGAAACTGTCTGCAAAAATACAAGTGATTCTGCATCTCTGCAGCCCTAATGAAGTCCTCAGACAAAATTTTCTTGCAGTCAATCTTGTTCCGCTCTACTCCTTTTGGCTTTCACTTTTCTGCTGCTTTGTTAGGAGAAATACTGTGGGTAGGTATTTGTGACTGAGAGAACTTGAAAAATGCTCAGAAATGCTATGATAAAAAGCATATGGCAGAAGGAACGCGGAAGAATAATTACCAGCCAGCACTGGTAACATAATAATACAAGTCCCTGCAATATGTAACAGCAGGGATTCTGTTTTTCCAGTGAGGTGAGTTTTTTTCCAGTGAATCTGCAGGATTAGACTTCTCCAGAGTAAGCCACAAAGAAATACTCAAGGATCTGCTAACCAATCATAGCTTGTAAGTTATTACCTCCCTTTAGTAATGTGCAGTATGTAAAGCAATTTTAAAAACGCAGCAAGAAAGTCCAGCCTTTCTGTGTTCACTGAGGTCAGCCAAACACGGCAAAGTCAAGAAACTGCTATTAACGGTAAATGATCCTAACATAGTAACTCTCCTCTTCTTGCTAAGTCAAACTCACATGTCTGTGGTTTGCTGGGCTATGACAGGCCATTTCACTGCAGTTACACACAACCCATTATTAAATCCCCACTGCAGTGCTAATACTGTGCAGACAGAGCCCTCAGAGGTTTAATGAAGTTTGCTCAGGTGCAGAAAATATTCTGCGGTTAGAATGCATCAGAGCAAACTACACAAACCTTGGGGACGTTGGCTGTACGTAGTGTTACGAGCCCACAAGCTAACTAAAAGTTGCTGTGGATTTTTGTAGATGAGCTGCAGTCATAGGTTTATGCAGGACTGTAATCCTACCTTAAGCAACAGAACTATGATTACAATGCTGTCACCAGCTGAGAAAAAACCAATCACCTTGGAGCTGGGACAAGCAGAACCCGTCTCTTAGACATTGCACAAACTTGGCTGTGCTGAACTGCTCTGCAAAAATTTATCAGGTAGTGCATTCTAGCTGAAGTTGAAAATGAGATATTTCATCTTAGCAGTTAAATGCCACAGAGTGCCAGAAGAAAACAGTTTTCTTACAGCTGTTTTTCTAACTTTTTCCCCTCTGCTCCCTCAGCCAGCTGAACTGCACATAGCACATGATGGAGGGAAAACAACACACACAAAAAAAGTGGTTGTCTCTTTTTTCTGACAGCCAAATGGAGACATAGGCTGTCCTTGGACAAATCACCTTGATAAGTGTCTTTTGAGACTGATCTGCTGAGGAGGACACTGCACTCAAAATTGCCAAAATTAACCTGCTTTGAGTATAGAAAAGGACACTACCATCTGCTCCCCTGCAGCATCTTTCATTGGCAGACCCATCTTGATATCAGACAGTGCAAATTGTTAATATTTACACTGGTGATCTGAGCACTTATCACTAGAGATAACCTATTTTTAGAAAACCACTTTTTCCTTAGGCTAGAACTGTTTAATAATTGGTGTTCATCAAGAAAAGAACCCAACAAACTACCTCAAGTAATCTCAAGCAAAGTCTGAATCAATGAGAACCATTAATCGGTCAGAGAGACTTGGTAAGCAGGAACAGTGTCTGTGTAATCACTTACAGCTCATTTAGTTGACAGGCAAGCAGCTGTCCTGTCACACAGCCCTGGGAGATATTTTAATCACAATATGTTTGTTTCTGTACTTTATCAAAATCTACCACACATTGTGGACAGCTCCTTAGTCTTTGGGGAAAAAAACGTTTAGCATCAGTTTTTAGTCCACCCTCAAAGATCACTGCGGAGTTGCTCTGAACCCAACTCATAGACTTGAACAGAAACTGAACCTAAACACAGATATTGAGGAAACTCACTGAATTGTATAAGAAAAGTTTGAGGGGTAGGCAGAGCAGCATTTGTGTAGCAGTACATTATATATATTGTTTGATCCATGCACAATTGTCAGAAAATGACAGTGACTAGCAACTAAACAATAAACAGATTACTCTTTCACAATTGGAGAACTAAAAGAAAATAAATAATATGTCACTATCTCCTAGCTAGCCCAATACAGCTTCCTTCAGAGAGCCTCCTTCATCATGAAGTTGATGCCACACATAATCTTCAATGATTTAAATTTCTCAAGATACATACTACTCACACATAGGTAATTACGTAGGTGACTTGCAGACCCTACTGTATGACTAGAAAAGATACCCCAACACAGTAGAACTGGGAGAATCTTTTTCAGGCTGCGTGTTCTTATAGCACAAATCCTTAAATGTAGTAAAAGCATTGACGCTACTTCTGATAAAGGATCCCTAAGACCCAAGATCATGTTTGCTAAATATCACCAGTCATCTGTGGTCTGCCACCTTTAGAGGTCTAAAATCAACAGCTTTGCAAATATTTTGATCTAATCTCCTAATGATAATAAGGATGAGAATACAGTTTTTCAGAGGAACAACTTAGTAGTTTCTATTTGTAACTGGAGACCAACATTTAAGGCTAAAATTGTAACATGGGCACATTCTGGCTACACTACACCCCCGAGCAGTGAGCGTACCTCTCACCCAGACCTTTGTGCTCCAGATCCAGGTTTTTGTGTAAAGTTTTCAGGCAGCTGTGCTGGTTTATTAGCATTTCATATTCTGCAGACTGTCGTTCATGCAGTGAAGCAAGGTGTTCATGGTCCTGAAGCAATGACTCATACTCAGCTTTCAGCTGCTCCTTCTGTTTCAGTAGATTTTCATTCTCATTTTCCTTGGCTGTCTGCTGATTTTGGAGTAAAGTATTCTGGGCCATCAGTGAAGCACTCTGGGAACTGAGGGTTGAATTTTCTACCTAAAGTTTCTCAAATAAAAAGCAAGCATTACTTATTTACACCTACTGGTACGTACAACAAACATGTAGCAGCTTATATCTGTATAGAGTTAATCAAGAATGCATCCATTGCTTTGTAGACTTAATACACCTACGGACAATTTGGCATCATTTTGATATTATTGCTGGTAGTATGCACCACATAAAACCATGCTATCAGCAGTCTGAAAAGTATCAGGATAACCTCCAAACTGAAAAAAACATTGCTTTACTAGCAGAAGCTCTTGAGCCTGAAGACCAAGATAAGCTGGAATACTCACAACTCAACTGCATCTCTGACAATCGTGTACAAAACCAAAAGTTACCCCATGTTTGTGTACAAGTAATGAAAACTGAAGTTCACCCAAACTCAACAAAACTAACTGCACCACTGTGTATGGGGGCAGCACTCCTAAAAAATGTGATTTCAGTAGAGCTAATCCAATGTTGTCCTTTAAAACTGTTCTCATTCTCAAGCTAAGTTTATTTCTTCAAAATTAAATTAATGTTTAAGAGTTACTGTTTTCCACCAGCAACTTTGACATTTTGTCTGAGAGTATGAAAATTGTGTTTGGAACTCATTGCTACAATGTCTCTTGGGAGCTGACTTGTGTCCTCTTCCCATTTCTTCCAAACTCTTTCACAGGTATGGCATTTAACAGAAAAAAGAGCAAAGATCTTTTATTCCAGAAGTGCAGCTTCTGGAACAACACATCTGCATTTCACTGTGCTGATTTTAAAAATTCCTCTCTAAATAACTACCTTCTTAATGAAGATGGCTCTGTAGCTAATGTCTAGTAGCTAATTTCCCTCCTTGCTTGGAGGAATTCAGACCTCAAATTAAGCTCCACCTTATAGGCCTTACCTTTACATCGCTACATCTGCCTACCAATACAAACGTTTCCTTATTAGCTGTCATCATTTCCACCTACTATAATCAAATCAAGTCCCTTGGCACAGACCTGGAGTTTGGCCGTCTGCGTCTGCAGGGCAGTGTTGTGCTCCTGAAGGAAGACGTTTTGCTTCTGTAGTGTCAAGATCTGATTGTTGAAGGAGACATTTTGTGTTTCCAAATGCTTCAGCTGTTCTTTAAGCAGCTGCTTCTCAGTATGCAGGGCTGCATTCTGAAAGAGAGATGGCATTGAAGTGGTGACAGGAAGAAATAAAACAGCTGTCCTGATCATTTGGAGTCCTATCAAAGATGAGAACCCATTAGCAATGATCATTCTGCAACCAATGTGCAAAAGCAAACTCTTCCCAGCGTTAAGTGAAGGTAGGACAGATGCTATACACAGGATTAATCCCTGCAATGATATTACACAAGACATATATAGCATTAAAGTCCCATGCAGTCCTAAGAGATACCCGAGGAATTTGGTAGACTTATGCGCTCCAGAAAACCCAGCAGATTCCTACAACCTTAAAAATCCAGTTCCAAGCAACCCACTCATGATCACAAGGGAAGTCTGAAAGATAACAGGAAACAGGAGAAGGCTTACATTCCTTTCCAGTTCAATTGCTCTGTCCTTCAGTTTCAGCAGCTCCATGGTAGCTTCTCGGTGTCCCGTTTCCAATTTCTCATTCATTTGGTGGTTGGGAATGAGTTTCTCTGCAGAATACCTGAGTGACTTCTGAGCGTACTGCCCATCCTGTTGAGTCTGCTTAAGTGCATCAAAATCCTTCTTTACCTGTAAAGCCAACCAGCAACAACCTTCAACACTGATTTAACAGTGGGATTTTATATTCATAATTATTAAATATGCAGTTCCTCTCTTGCACTGTAGGTACTTTAAGGGATTCAAGAACCATTACTCTGACTTCAGAGATGAGGAGGAAGCTGAGACACAGACAGGTGGAGGAATCCATGTGTCTCAGCCTCTGGTCAGGTGCCCTTTGACTCAAGCTCACTGTCACTTAACAAACCAGCCGTTTATAGGTGAGATGTTTCAACTGCAGTCTTCCTCAGTCTATGCTCTCATTACATAAAGTAGAAAAACACCACCATGGCAATGAAAAAAAAAAAAAACAAGGGAAAACAGAGATCTGCAAATAGTGGTTACGTAAAAAACTCCTGCCGTGCCCCCAGCCCAACAATTTTGCTGAAACTGGTGCCATTATATAGAAAGGGACAAGAGAAAGCAGTCCAGTCAAAGGTTTTTGGGAAGTGCATGTATGTGTGTAGGCGTGGGGAAAGTAGAGATAACTTGGTCTTGCCAAGTTAAGAAAAAAAAAAAAAGTATGTGAATGTGCAAAACCACATCGTGAACAATTAAAATTCAGTTAACCTCTTACCATATTTAGATCGTTCTGTAACTGCTGGTTCAAGTTCAGATAGTCTTTCACTTGAGCTTCCAGCATTGCAATCTTTTCCTCTTTCACAGCTAGTGTTGTTTTTAGTGCTGATTCAGTTTTGCTCTCCAGAATCTTGTATTTTCTGAAAGACAAGAGAATAGCTTTCCAATGTCTGCCACTAGGATATGAGCCACCATCTATGTAGGAGGCTTCACCTTCACCCATTCCAAATCTCCGCACGTTACATTATATGTGTTTGCTTCTTCAGGAAAATTATTTCCTCTACTGCCACAAATTGCTACAGATATATTATTATATTGGGGAACCTACTTTTGGAAAATCCAATCCATTTTAATAGAGATAATGCCAACATGGTTCTACAGAAATATCTAAGAGCTACATAACTTAAAAGTAAATAAGTTTTTCTCTTTTTTCCCCCTAATGACACTACAGAAATTTCTCATGGCTCTTTTGTACATTCTTGATAAGGAGAAAAATCCGCAGTAGATTCTAAAGACTCCTACGAGGTGGGTATGTTTCTCTAATTAGGTCTTACCAAGAGGCCTACATACACATAGGTTGTTGGGGTTTCTTTGTTTATTAAGTATAGGACTTGAAAAGGAATTCCTTGCAATCAGGAATTTCTTAGGCAACATCTACATTTATATTAATAGGTGGTTGGGCCATCAATTATATGTAGTAATGACAGACTGTTTAATAGACATTATTCTTACTTGTAAGGAAAATATGAGGAGGAATACACACTGAAATAGCTACTCAGCTATTCTGCTGTGGAGTAGAGGGGGGCTGTAGTAACACTGGCTAGCATTGAGAGAGAAAATAGCATTTCCTCCTTCCATCCAAGAAAAAGTTTTGCAAAACTTGCAGTATACTGCCAAGCTTGCTACAGAAAAATATGCTTTATGTCCAAAATTGGTAAGGGTAATTGGAGTGAGACAGATGAGAACCAAAAAGAAAAGTAAAGGGCTTGAGTTAGGCTGAGGAAAAGCCTGCACAGTCAAAAGAATGACTAAGAGATCAGTTTCGTTACGTGTCGTCGTTGCCGTTGTCATCCTGTAGCAGCAGCTCTTTGCTCAATCCTATCTTCTCCAGTTCCTGGCTCAGTTTGTCCAGCTCACTAGACAACTGTTGACTCTTCAGCTTCTCCAGGACCAAATCCTGTAATGGCGCTAACATTAGTTGCTGTGCAAATGGTGGTGATGATTACGGAGCACTATAGATTTTTATTTTTTTAAAAAGTACTGAAAAAGCCATTGGATAAAATCCTAGTTCCCAGAAGGTCAGCTAAATTTCTTCACCAGTGGCAGCAGGGTGTAGAATTAAACTGATTGCTTTTATTTCTAGTTTACTTGGAATAAATCAGAAGAATGCTTCTTTTGGCCTTTGTCTCCCTCACAGAATTGAATTACTTCTGCGACCACTGGCATCCTGCCTGCCTGCCAAGTGGAAATGTGTGCAGGCCAGGAGATGTCCTGCCCTTGTGTCACAGGCGGGATGTGTGCAGGACGGGACACCAGCAGAGGGAGTTCCCACCTCTCAGCTAGGACAAAAAGCCCTGCTGAAAAGCCCAGCCAACATTGGTGCACACACAAAGACAAGTGACAGGACTTCAGCATGAAAGTTTCCTACGATAATATGGTTAAAATGTTATTACCAAGGGACGTGGCAATAGTGCATTTTCATTATTGACTCTGAGTTTCTGACATACGGTAAATTACTGCCAAAATTAAAAAAGCATAATTACACTGTTGTGTAAGAGGACAGCTCTGGAGACTACAAAGCTTGGTCACTGGTATCTACTGGCCTATTCCGGTTTCATTTAGGTTTCTTTGGAAGAAACTTTAGAAAACCTAGGCAAGGAAGTCATAAGAGGAGGGCATTTGATGGAGTTGTACCAGAAAGTATATTGGGACAATGCTTTGCTGTTATGCCAGTAAAGTAGTCTGTGTGAAAATGGCCTGAGAAGACGTAATACCAGCCTGCATGTTTAAAAAGAACAGATCATTTTTGGTGAATAGGCAAGTTCAAGGATTCCTACCACACAAAATTCTCTGAAATGCAAATGTACCATAGAAAACTACATTGCTCATGTTTCTGCTCAAAAGTTTTCTTAAACAAGGTATGAGGAAACAACAAAGTTACTAAAGCACTTCAAGAACAAAAAAAAATTATTCTGGATATCAAACAGAAGCAAGAATAAAATTTTTAAGAAATACTTTGTTAAGCATAAACTGTAGGTACTCAATAGTCCTCTGATATCACAAATTTAGCCACACATTCATTCACATGGCAAGGGAAAAAAAGGTAAGGTTAAGGTCAGTGCCAGTCCATGGTCTGTAAACAGGTCCCTTCAACATCCATGAACTCCCTCTGTAGAATCTATAGAAAGTACCTAAGGAAAAGAAGATATGCTCCTGTATGGGTCTGCACCACTGGAAATTCACAGAGGTCTGAGAAGGGAAAGATTAAAAAGGAGCCTTCTCAAAAATGCTATTTTATTTACTTTAAGGATAGTTGGATAGAAACACAACTTGGTGACTGTTTCAAATGTTTCTAATAAACTTTTTTCCACCTCAAAATTACATTAATCCTTCAAAAACTAAAATAAAACTAAATAGTAATTCAACTAATTTGAGTCATTGCTTACTGAATTAGTGTTGCTAAACTTATTTCACTGAACTACCGCAGCATTGACTGTATTCCTTTGAATGCTCTTTCACAGGAAATCCTGTTTCTGGCAGGACAACAGCCGCTGGGGCAGGCAACGAGAGCAAGTTGCAATAACCTGAATCTGCTCATGAGAGTATCAGGTTCTGGCACAGACATCACTAGTTAGCCAATGTCCTAATGCTAATTGTGTATTTTTAAAAGATGACTTCTAGGAAAAGCGTGATTACTGCAGTGGAGAGGGGTGCTGGAAGAGATGGCTGGTGCTTAACAGCAGAGCTGTTTAGCAAGCTCTCACTTTCAATGGAAGCTTTTGTGGAAAAACACTGTAGGTGGTGTAAAGCAAAAGCTTGGTGGAGCTGTTTTTGAAAGGGTTAGGTTGGTAATCTGGGATGATTCTTAGCTAAGTCTGTTTTAGAAAAGGGATGCTAATGTGTCCGCAACAAGTGCTCTAATTTCTAGGCTTAAGAGCCAATCTCCCCTGCTGGAGCTCTCATGTTAGTGAACAATTTTGTGGTCCAGGGTTAAAGAAAGTACCAGAGTCTTTGGTTTACAGCTACCACGTGGAAGGTGTGTTGAGACCTTATTCTGCATGAAAAAAAGACATCATGTTTGCGGACACAAAGTGGTACACCACAGTTTTTAGCAGGTTCCGCTTTCCAAGGCGACACTATCCAGCGATGGTTGTTAAGGCTGTGAAGATCTCCTAGCTCATGTATTAGTCATGGGACAGATGTCTCCCTTTGATACTTCACAGAGCTGAAATAAAAAAATAGTATTGTATTGGAACCAGTAGTATTACTTTGCTTACCTCTCTCAAGGTAGCTAGTGTTCTTTTATCAATTGTAACTTGCTTTATGAGATCTTTATTGTCCTTTTCAAATTCTTTCAGCTTATTAGATGAATCTCTAAATCGAGCAATTTCCTTTTCTAGTGTCTTGATTTCTTTCTCGGCAATTGCCAACTTTACTGTACTATCATCCAAAATAGCATCTTTCAGCTCCACTTGCTGCCAAAGCCGTTTAGTTTCTTTCTCTAGCATTTTTTTGTCTTTCTCAAGTTGAGACATTTCTTGTTCTAGGGTTTTGTTCTCCTTTTCTAGCATCTCTAGCCGTTTGGCAGAAATCTTTAGCTCCTCAAGGTTTCTTTGGAGGACCTGATTTTCACCCTCCATTCCCTGTACTTCTTTTTCTAACTCCTGGATCTTTTTGCTGCTGTTCTCCACAATTTGCTGAAGTCTTTGGTTTTCAGAGTTGACGCTCTGATAGCTTAACTCCAGCCTCTCTGATTTCTTGCTCATTGCTTTTAACATTTCCACGTTCTTTCTTAAGTCCTCTTTCTCCCTTTCCAAATCTTTATTTTCTGCTTCTATTTGTGCCATTTTTGTATTGGTAAATCTCATGGTCTCCACCACTCTCCTAAGCTCCAGATTTTCTTCATCCAATTGCTTGTTGTCCCTTTCCAGGTCCCCAAGCCGGATGGAAATATTTTGCAACGTATCCAGGGATTTTCTTAGTTTCCTATTTTCCACTTCCAGATCCCCATTCTCCTGCTCAAGAACTTGCACTTTTTCTGTCACTATTTTCATTGCTGCTGCCTTCTTTGTGAGCTGTTCATTCTCCCTCTCCAACCGATGGAGCTCCTTTTCCATTTCTTCCAATTTCTTTAACCTGGTCAAAATCCTTTTGCAGTTGTTTCTTCTCAAATTCCAGCTTGCTCAGTTTACTACTAGTGTCTGTAACTGTTTCATGAAGGATCTTGTTCTCTTTTTCAATATCTTTTACTCTTGCCTCACTGCTCACTTGAGATCTTTGTCTCAGGGATAAGACAACTTGATTAAGGTGATCATTCTCTTGTTTAAGGTCCTTTATCTACAAAAACAATAAAAAAAGTCATGCAAATGTTACTCATCTACGTTACAAAGTGCAGTATAAATTAGTCCTGAAGCAGACAGACTATTGTTAACAAACCCACATCCATTTAATCCAAGACAAATTTCTCAACAGTTTTTCCTGACTAAAACCAACAACCCAAACTAACGAAAAACATTGTTACCTCTGATAACCTGCAATTCTAACAAACTGAAAATAGCGCTATAGTCCTGCTACCAGCTAAGAAGGTCAAGGCAGAGGAAGAAAGTAGGCAGAGGACCTTTAGAGAACACCTTGGAGAAGATGCTTTGTTAAGAATCATTCCTAAGAAAGGGCATCTTTCTGTCTAGGTTTACATTCATCTTTGGGATCTGAAGACACAAATTGTCTCTGATAAGGTGTCAGAAACCCCAAAATGTTTGAAAATTTATAGCAGTTATAGATCTCATTAAAGACACACTTTCTGTAAGAACAGTGCACTTACCCCACTGGTCAAAATTTCAGCTGAAGCAATTGTGATTTAGACTGCAATTAGCATTTGATTATTATCTAGACAACATCCACAGAAATCAAAAAGGACTTAGACCTGAAAAAATCAGAATCTGCCCTTTTCTGACAACTGAGGATACTTCTAGTTTTACTTCCTGTCCTACCTATGAAGTATTCATTAATTCTTACCACAAAGAGTCTGTGTGTGTTCTAACTGAAATGTAGGACTTCAGTGGTAAAGTGGTTTCCCAGATAGAAGTCTGAGTAAGAATCCTTCAAGATGAAAAGCACTACGCAAATAAGACATTTTGTTATTTACTCTTCACCCCACAAAACTTGGAGCAAATTTTAATACAAGTAGAAAATATACAGACCAGTCTCCAATGATCTGTGTCTGTATTTTCTTCACTAGTCAAATTAATACAGATGATACCTTGCACGAACCTGTAATAGGATAGTTTAAAGGCATTGCACATGAACTGCAGCACTGCAGTAAAAGCTGAAGGGCATTTAAAATATCAGTCTAGAAGACATAAATGGTCTCTCAGCATCTTTTTAAAACGTAGAGCAAAAAAGGTTGGGTGGCTAAAAAAAACCCCAACCAAACCAATGAGGATATACAGCTGGCAGAAGACCAATCTTTCGCAATAAAATGAGGTTTTATTTGCACATCCTAAAGTCAGTCGGTATCCCATTTAGTAAGATACAGGGCTTTTTTCCCCAAAGAGTGAAGGTCTGTCCTTACAAAAGCCTGAAGATCCCCCTATGGCAACAGGAGCAGTAGCTGGCAAAACATGCTGGGCTTTTTTGCTTGGAGAAGCCTCTTACCTACCTTTGAAGAAGTTCACCCTGCACTTAAAAGCTCAAATTGCCCTACCTCCCCAAGAGAACCAGATGCTCTAAATGGCATCACTAAATTACCACTTCCAAGCATACATTTTTATATTACATTTGTAAAGTTTGCACCTGTCTGTCTTTGTCAGCTTTCAGAGTCTCCACGACAACTTGTAGCTGTTCTTTATCTTTTATCAGCTCTTCACTCAAGGTCTCCAGATCTTGATTACTTTGCTTCTCTTTTTCAATTTGATTTTGCAACTTCTCAATCTGTGTGGAGAGAACACACCACAACACATCAGCCACAGAGTGACACAAAGACTGCTTGCACTTTAAGTTATTCTGAAGACCAGAGAGGAATGAGATTTGTGGCTGAAAAATGTAATCCTTCCCTTCTGCTGCTTGCCAGTCCCAGAGGAGGAAATGGACTGTTTTGTTTCTCTCACAGTGCCAAGAATCTCCCTTCATGCCTATTAAGATCAGAGCATGTAAGACACAGCAGTAAGAAATGCTTCACCTGACTGCCCGAATGTCCTGTTGTGCTACTGTCATCAGTGATTAAGTTTCTGGTGCTCACCTTTCTGAGGGACTTGCCTCCTCCTAGCCTCTCTATCACTGATGGCCTTAATCTACCAATGAATGCAGAGAAAGTTAAGACAATTCAGTGAGCAACAGAATAAATAAATTTTAAAACAACCCCACAAACCAAAACCAGGAATAGATGAAAAGCACTGGAGTTTCCACATTTACCTTCCCTTTTCCTGCACTCTGTTTGCCCTGTTTTCCCCAGCAGGCGACAATACTGAATTTGAAAGATTTGTGAATAAAGTCCCAGTCCTACAATGAACGATGTCTTCTTACTCCCCCCCCCCCCCCCTTTTCACAATTGTCCTGTTACAGAAAAAC